TCGTAAACGATTAGAAGCGTTGTAGGATAACCTTTCGCTGAACTCACCCTCTAATGCAGCATGGGAGGACTTCAAAATGTAATGTGGCAATCACCCTACGTTGGCTGCGTTGTGATGTCATGTCAATTTATTTTTTGTTTCTTCATTTACAGTGTCTCTTCTTCGCAAGCGAGATAGCTTATTTGAGGTCGGTTACAAGATTGCGAGATACCGCCACTGCACCTGACCATGGAGCTGCGTCTTCATATAAACTACAGCTTCTGAGAAGTATACACAACATCTGGGCGAGCTTTGCGCAGGAGAATACCTGTGCACAACAAGAAGCTGCTGATATCGATACAGATACCACAACAATATAGCAGTAAAACTCGTGTACTCTCACAGGCAGCGAACCGAGAGGACGACTGCTTACACTCCTCTGCGCGAATGTCACCGATATGTAAAAGAACGAAAAAAAAGGGCGGTATTACGCCACGAAATGGCGACGGTCCGAGGCACAACTATTAAAACGCGTATTATTCCTTTTAAGACATGACAATGTGACACTTGTTTCATGCTGGTGTACCTCGAAAGCGCATGCAGTTAAAAGAGCTTTGCTTGGTAGAATTTCGAACGGTCGAGTACGTGGATGGCGTCCGTGAAAGACACGCAGCATCTTTATTCGCTGTGCATTGAATGTTATAGTTGGTCGGTTCACGATGTTCGACAACTTCCGCGTCGAAGCGAACACCTTTGGTTCTTTATGAGCACAGAAAACGCACGGTATAGACTCGTTCACTGTTTACAAACACAGGCCCTTGACGACCTCCGGTTTTGTCCACCGATGTGCCTCAATAGCATCGGTGGAGAACAAGAGCTTTAGAAAATATCCCGCTGATTTTGTGCAGTTTCCTTCCTTTACTTGGCAAAATATATTCAAATAAATGTTCTTTTGCGCTACATAAAAATTATAAAAGATCCCCGTGTACTTCACGCACGTTCCTTTTATGGGAAAAACAAAACAGAGACTTTTCTCGCCCTTTAAAAGAACTTGAAAACATGCTTTCACTTTCGACGTTAGGAGCTGGTAAATGAGGTGATCGGAAGTTATTCGGGGTACAACGCTTGCAACTTTGAAACCGTCTATACCAACCTCTAATATTGCGCTTCCATTAAAATGCGACCACCAAGTCATGTGAATCAGCTGCTGGCATCACTTTGTGACGCCAGCAGGCGATTCACGTAATATCGCCAGAGTTTGAGCTGTCGATTTGTCTGTACATATATGAGAAGCATCAGTTGTCAGTACCACAACCTGCCATGCAGTTGCACACCCCGTTAACCCTTGTCTTACTCCGATATATCGAGCGCTACCAACTGATCTCGCTCCGTTTAGTGCATCGACGGCGCAACCTACGTCAGGCGTGTAGACAAACGGCGCGAAACCCTGGTAAGCTCGACGCTTAGTATACTAACGTTGTCGCCATGTCTTTAATAGAAATAAATGGTGAGGAGGAGATATCACCTCTAGACACACTGCAGCTGAGGTGAGAAAGAAACCGGTCTTTCAGCTTCGAATTCGGAGTGATCCAAGCGCCTTTAATCTCTTAGGCAATATTATTGTTGTGTGCAGAAATGTAAGGTATGTTGTGTCACTATAGGCAGTAGAGGCTCGCCGTATTCCGAGGAGCCTCCTTTAATTTTTGTCCAGAGCGTATTGTGCGTATACGATTCACCAAGTCGCCCTGCCTTGTATACATTTGTTAAGCCATAAGCTGCACACGTTTCCTGTAGCAGCCAAAAGAATTCAATCAAGAGGGACGAAACAAAATTCTTCAAACATTTTATAGAACACGTGAGGTGGTCAATCTTTTCATAAAATTAAGATAACGACGCTGGAATCCGGTTTCCGCTCATACCATGGACGGGAATGCGGCGAATAGTTTCTCATCAAGTTCAATACTGTTAAGCTTGGAATAAACTAACACGCATGCATTCTTACTAGTCTGCCTTCCACTACCTAACGTGGTTTAATTGCGCCTCATTTCAAGATTTCGCGTTTTATTTTTTTCCACACAACCACTGATTTCATTGATATGTGGGGTTCAATGTCCCAAAACAACAATATGATTATGAGAGACTTCGTGTAGGGGAGGGCTCCGAAAACTACGACCACCTGGGGTTTTTTAACGTGCATCCAAACCTGAGCACACGGGCCTACAGCATTTTCGACTCCCGAAAATGCTCCACACAACTACTTTTGTTCCCTATTTCATTAACTCAGTTCACCTGGCCATCAATTCTATTCATTTGTTTATTTGTGGCCGTCTGAACGTGTATGGTTGGTACAAACTCTTTCTTCATACAGTGAGCCATTCGTATCTAATCTCAGTTTCACTCCTACTGATGCTTTCACGGCGATGACAGGTGGCCGTGGTGCATATTATTTACTTCAAACTTCATATATATATATATATATATATATATATATATATATATATATATATATATATATATATATATATATATATATATATTCACGAAACGAAACAACTACTATAGAGGCTTCCTACTTTGATTGATATGTGGGGTTTAACGTCCCAAAACCACCACGTCGTAGTGGAGGGTTCCGGAAATTTCGACCACTTGGGCTCTTTAACGAGCACCCAAATCTGAGCACACGGGCCTACAACATTTCCGCCTCCATCGGAAATGCAGCCTCCGCAGCCGAGATTCCATCCCGCGACCTGCTGCGGCTCAGCAGCCGAGTTGCTTAGCCACTAGACCGCCACGGCAGGGCAGGCTTCCTCCTTTACACACAGGCATGAATAACGCGCTAAGAGGAATTCACAGCGCCATCTGCCTTTTCAAGCGCATTTTTCAGACGCTCTGAAAGGCTAGCGCGCAGAGCCGTAATCATGGCCGTCTCCTTATACAATTGTAGGAAGCGTGACACACGCGACGTCGCCGACGAGCCGCCAGACTTCTTTTTAGGTCGAAGCTTGCTCCTGCAGTTATATAAGAACGCGTGTGGAGCAAAAAAAAAAAAAAAAAAATTCGGCAGCATTCAACGGCACTCGGCTGGTTCAATTACGAGCGAAGATGGTTCCGAATAACGTAACTGTAAACTATAATCTTTAGAGTAAACACATCGTAGTGTCAAAAGAAGACCGAAAGAAAAAGGTGGGCACTGCCTGATCTGAAGAAAAAGATTTGAGATACTGAAACAGCTGCTGAAAGGTATTTAAACTTCAAAACTTTCGCAGTGTGTGCCAACTGTCTGTCACCATCTGTCATATATATATATATATATATATATATATATATATATATATATATATATATATATATATATATATATATATATATATATATATATATATATAGGGACCATGGAATGAAACATGAAACGCGAACAGCGCGTAGATGGCGACCTGTTCGCGTTTCGTATACCATCACCCTTGTAGTACATATACGACCTACACTGGCATCTGTCTTGTCCGTATACAAGTTCCCACATATTTCTCCCGATTTGTAAACGGGAGAAAAGATTTGTAAACTTTCGGTAAACGTTACAATCTCCACATGATCACCCTCAGTTTATAATGCCGCTTTAATGTCCCCTATCAAACAATACTGCGGCTTCTTTTTCGCACTGTAGCTCGCGGAGTTTTTGCAGTGTTAGATTCATTTTACCATCATGCTGTAACGCCACGTACCCGATAACTTTTCTTTGAATTATGCGCACAAGTTTACATAACTAGTAAGCGTCAGACACGGAGCATGTGGTGCCGAATGGGTATGTCAACATGATTATGTCAACTAATAAATACCTAATACTAACATGGCAAATCACATTACTGTACTCAACGGTTGGTGTGCCATCAACTTCACTAAGTCCTAGACGGTGCAACCATCTCTCCTGTATCGGCACAGCGGAACCGCGAAGTCAACGTTGATAGTTATTTTTTTATTCCCCGGTAGCTTAATTGAAATGCCCACTTGCAGCATAGAACAAGGATACACTTATGCGCTAACGTCTAGGCGATAGCCAAAAGGAAGTTTCAATTGCATGGTTTAAGATTTCATTGTATACGGAAAAAACTGACATTCTGACAGGCCAATATATGTTGACATTTCGGCTGCTCAACGCGAACACTTTTCGGTAGACTGACTATTTTTCGAAACTATTCAACATCTTATAGAGATGTCTTGGCGGACAGGCAACTCGGCGAGTTTTTGCGTAAAAAATGTTGATCACACCTTGTTTGACGAGGTAAATATCCGCAGATTGTGAATACTAAACGTTAGATGTACTTCGACATGCTGGCTGACAGCTTGACATAATCGCACGAAATGATCATTTCAATATAACAGCATCATCTGCTATCACCGCTCCTATAGTCGTATAATAATAAAACTGTCGGAACAAAACTGTCGCTTTAGGTAGCGAAAATGTGACAGACAAACGAAGACGCCACGAAAAGTTTCTCAAGTTGAGGTGGGAGCCTGAGAAAGTTTTCGAGGACGCTCAAAAGACGCCTCACGAAAGCAGGGCCGCGTCTGAGTTCGAAAGACGGACTCGCTCGCAGCGCTGCTGTTGCCCAAGCGCCAGCCTATTCAGACAGGTGGTAACTTTCGCGGTGTGTACGAGGCGCGTCGGATGCCTCCTCTCCCCCTCAAGAAGGCGCGCCTATACAAAAGTGCCGGCCTTCCAAACAACGCGCACCACCTGGCACTCGCGGGCTCCCGCGAAAAAGAAGACAAAACAAGTTGACAAGTTCGCCACTTCCTCCCCCTCCTCCTATATATGTATATTTTTTTTCGCCGTCACGCACACGTTTCTGCTATCGCGGCTTGGCTTCTCGGCCGACCGACGCCACCAAATCGTGGTGGCTGCGTGCGAGTGGCGGTGCGGCTGCTGATATCGGTGCGCGTTCGCTCTTTGTGCAGCCCGATCGCCAAACACTCGGGCGCGAATACACAACACGAAGCCCTGCGTGTATTCATACAACACTCACCTGAAATCGGTCCGACGATCCGAGCGGGAAGACTGTCGCGGCAAGCTGGCCGTCAAGCAGAGTGCCGGCGATCGCGCGCACTGTCAGCACTGCGGCGTGCGTCCGCAAGGCGTCGGGCGAATGCAAAGCAGCCGCGCGAAGTGTGAGTCAGCTCTCCTCGCGCAGGGGCCGAGTAGTCGGACGCAGCGGCGAAGCCCAGCGGTAGCCCAAACTGCCGCCGCTACTGGTGTTTGAATAGGAGCCCCATTGTGAGGCGCGAGGCATGCTGGGAGCGGTGGTGGCGGCACCTGACGAGGCCCTCAGTTTCTAAAGCTGCCCAGCTTATGCGCTCGCGGCGCGGCAGCTGCCGCCGCCACTTCGCATGCTGGTTCCCAGGCTGGCCGCCGCCGCTGCTGCTGCTAGGATGGGCTGCGGCCCGCTGGCGTTATGCGTTGATCCGGCGGTGGTCGGGCGATGGACAGACCTATCGATTTTTTTCCCTTTCAACTGGCGTCTGCTTGATCACGTCGACTCAAGCCGCAGATTTCGGGCGTGTGCCCCTTACTCGGATATCCTCGCTCCGCCGCCGACGTGGTCCAGCAATGCCCAGCATTTTTCAATATACCGCAGATCGCACCCGTACACTGTTTTTTTTTTCAGCCTTTGAGCCTTCAATTCTATCGAATTCGAAATCACTGCTATTCAGAAGCGCCTAGAGGTACTGAAGGAAAATTATAAAAAGAGCTAGAATAGGTCAGCCAGGAAGTTCTCAGTACACATACTAAGGCAGATAAACTTTCTGCACAGGTCTCCTCAATGCAAACACGCGTAAAGGATCACACTGACAAACTAAGACGCAACCACTTAATTTTCTATAGTATTCCGGATGAGGAGGAAACCTGGCAAAAGACAGAAGAAAAAGTTGTTTCCACTCTCGATTTCCATCTTTTTTCTCTCCTTATTTCTGATGCCATTGAACGTGCTCATCGTCTGGGTGCCTTCTATCAGGACAAGTGCCGCCCCGTCATTGTTAAATTGCTATCTTCTAAAGGAAAATATGCACTGCTTGCGACACGTATAAAGCAGAAGATAACATCAACGTAACAGAGGAATTCTCACCTGCTACACGTTCAGCTAAAAAAAAAAAAACTGCTTGACTTTGCCAAGAGTCAACCAGGGTCCCCCAAACATAAATTGAGCTACAACAAGCTACATTCAAACTAGAAATGCCACATGTATGATCAAAATACTTAATTAGTCATCCAGAGGTACAATCGTAGTGCACCGACGAATTCCCCTTCTGCGATTATCAGGGCCCAGGATTACGCCAAAAGCAATGGTAATGCGCCCGAAGCTTCCGTATCGTTCCTTTTTACTAATATCAGAAGCGTTCTTAATTAGTACCACTCCCTATCATCAACTATTGACTCGTGCTCCACAAAAATTTTCGCGTTGACAGAAACTTGGCTCAAGGCGTAAATATGCGACACTGAAATATTTTTAAATGCTGATCGCTTCTCTTTCTTCCGCTGTGACCGCAGCATACAGAGAGGTGGCGGCGTACTTTTAGGTATTTCTAACGATATCCCATCATCATCTCTTCATGTTCAAACTAGTCTAGAAATTGTATGGGCTTTGATAACGCCTACCACCAGAGTGTAGTTATTAGAGGATTTTAGTCTGTCCGGCGCGCCGCTATACGAAAAAAAAGTTTGCGGATTCCGGTTCGCCGGGTCTGAACTGCGCTAGCGCGTGCCTTACGGGCGTTTACCGGACACGCTCAAACGCCCGAAAGCCCGACATGCTTTCAAGGTTGCCATTACCGGCTTCTCTTTGAGCCGAATGAAGTCGAGCCAAACAAAATGTAAAACAAAACAAAACAAAATGGCTATTTCGAGGTCCGCTACCAGCATGGCGCCGCGGACACGCTACTCGCCTTCCGACGACAAAATTATACTCGAAGAAGTTCTTGCGCTGAACCCTTCCGAGAATGCTTCGTGGTGGCGCACAATCACTGAAACAGTGTCAATGCTACCGCGGCGGACACTCGTGATGTCGATTCTGATGCCGATCACCGTAATGCTGATGTTTTCTTCATAGTTAGGTTTAAATCATGGCGCAAGTAAAGAAAACAAACATAAAGTTCTGTTTTGTAACGAAAAACTCATTGGCACTGTCCATTTTTTTTTTCCTTTCAGATTTAGTCAGTAAACGCGAAGACTTTTTACATTGCGCATACTGTTACGAGCCGCGTCGGGGGCCGCAGCGGACCCAGTAGGTAGCGTGGAGCTGGGTGGTGGTCGTCATTCCGCAGGCCACGGGGACGTTCAGAACTCAAGAAAGCTGAGGCAGAGGGACTGGCGTAGAAGAAAACTTAACAAGACGTTTATTTGCAACATGTGGGACAGTAACGTCCGAACGACGACTCTTCTCGCGACTCTCTCCTGTTCCCTTCTAGCGGGCTGCTCCCGCTGCCTCGCCGTGCAGTTCCGAAGATAGGGGCGGAATGTCACTTCGAGGAACCAACCACTCATGGAGAGCACAACACAAGACGAGTATCCCTTCACGCACGTGGCAGACGCACGTGGCACACGCGCGGGGACTCGGAGGCGACCGCGCAGGAGGAATTCACGGGAGTCGCTCCTACAGCACACAACCGGCCTTCCGCACATTCCAGAGTGGCCCGATCGTAGCCACTGCCCTGCAGGCGAAGCGCACAGCCGAGACAATGACAGTCGGTGCAGGTGACAAACCCGTACCCCATAAAAGAATGTTCGAGATGATGGGAAGGCACGCTTGGGGGCAGCTGGCCCAAGGACTTCGTTACTGCTTTGTAACAATACGCAGATGCGGCGGCCACGGTCGCGAAGGCGTTGCGGGCGTTTTTTGGGCGTATTTTGGGCGGTATTGCCTAAAAGTGCAAAAAGCTCGTTTCAACGCTATCCGGCTTGACGCCCTCCGGCAACCCGGTATACGCAAAAACGTACCGGAGTGCCGGACCGACTAAAATCGTCTATTAAAGTGTGTTACCGCCCGCCCTCGTGCACATTCAGCAGTGATGTTTAAGATGCTATGAACATTGTTAGTACACGTTTTTCCACATCTCCGCTGCTAGTATCAGGTGACTTCAATTTTCCTAATATAGATTGGAATTTCCATTCCGCTTCGATTCTTCCATTCTTGTCTCAAGCTCGCGATTTCTTAAATGTCTGCTCGTTATTCTCATTACAGCAAATGTGAACACAACCAACAAGAATAGCTGGGCACGTTTCAAACACACTAGACGCAATACTTACAAACAGTTCGAATATCATTTCACCCATGGCTTACTTTCCAGGCCTTAGCGATCATTATGTCACATATATTGACAATATAATAGCCCCTCTGAGAACAAAAAGGAAAAAAAATGGCCCCGCATCTGCATGTTAATCTGCAAATGTCGTCGAAAGACGATAGTCTTGCATCTGGAAAGAGTAAACAAAACGTTTATGTGATGTTCTGCGCAAGAAACTCGGTGAGTGGTATTCTGCAGGCGCTGCGCTAGAGTGAGTCCTCGAGCGTGCAGCGGAGGCGAACGAGCGCATTAAGTCACGTCACACGTGAGACATGAGCGCTATCTGGCAGTTCTTAGAAAGCGAAGCGTGCGCGCCCATCTCAGAGGTGATAAGGTGTAGAACGCAAGACAACGGGTAGGTGTCACCCCCGTGTAGTCTTAGCAAAGCGTTGGAAACCCTTGCCTTTTCGTGCAAGCGTTTCATGGTCAGCGCAGCGTGACAAACGCTACGGTCCTTAGAATTACTTATGTATGCCTTTTTTAGTAAAAAACGCACGTACAGAATATATACTACGTGTGGTGATGGTGCCTCAGATATGCGCAATATTTGCTTTTTAATGGACAATCGCACAAGTATGGACACTGAATCTTGAGTAACATTGGTGGGTGCTGTGGATGGGGTCGGCTGTTTGGGGTATCGGCTGGTGCCGCTTCGAATACCCGGTACCGTTAAGGGTGAACAAACAGACAAATGAACAGACAGACAGACCAAAGTTTTGGCTTCGGAGATCCCCCAAAAAGACTATCGTCTTTAAAAATGATACGAGGCTACAACAGGGGAAATTTTGAGGCGACCAAAGGGGTAATTTTGAGGCGACCAACCATGAACTCTCTAACTTCACCGATCATTTTTTTTATGCTTTTGACGAGCGGAGTTTCGAAACTAACTGAAACATGTTTTCAGATAAAATCCCGCAGCTCAAAAACCAATACATCACACACCGTATCGTATCAAACAGCTCAAATGCTCCATATACAACAGCTATATCAGGTGATTATCAAACAGAAAAAAAAGCGTTTACTTTTTCGCACCGCAAAGTTTTCGCCTACAAGTGATCGCTGGGCTTTATACACAACAGCATCGGCGCTGTACATTCAAGCCCTTCGAGAGGCAAAAAAAACTTTTACATTATCGTGTACTTCCCTCTATGTTGACCAATAATGTTAAGTAATTCTTGTGAACTATTAATTCCTTAACCAATGACGTTATCACGCTGATTTATTCGCTGGTGACCATGATTAATCGGACGTTTGCACCACAGTTTTAAACCGTACATTTGCTGAGAACTTCTCAGCTATCTCAGTTGTTCATACGCCGACAACTGTCAGCCATACTTTTGAAGTCGTGCCACCTATACTAATCAGTACATTTGGTATTAATAAGTTCACCAGTAAACTTGGTCATCATTCATCACCCGCATGCGATAATATTGGTACGAAGTTTTTCAAAAACACTTCTGCCAAGCTGCGCTAATACTGTGTAAGCTCTTTCAGCAATAACTTGATCTTTCCTTCTTCCAAAAGTGTGCAAAATTGGGAAGGTTATTATAATTCACAAATCGGGCAGCAAAACATCTCATCTCAACTATCGCCCCATTTATTTAACTAGCACGTGTTGTCAAATGTGTGAGCACATTATAGTCACCAACCTTTTGTCAGTTTTTAATATGTTCCTCCTTTTTTTAACATGTTCCTCCTTCCTTTAAACTACTCCTCTATAAAACACTATTTAGATCGAAACTGTAGTGTACTTCATCAGTCTGAGATTCTACCCAAGCTAACCTAATTTCTGCACTAGAAATCGTTCAAAATAACTCCGCACGTTTCATTCACTCTAATTACAGCCGCTCCGCCCGTATAACTTCTATAAAATCAGACCTTTCCCTCCCGTCATCATCGCCGCGCAGCAAAGTGTCACGCAT